GTAGAACTTCCAGGGCCAAGACATCTGTAGTCAAAGCGTGTCAATCTGAAGCCCCTTTGGGACCCCTCGGGTTTGGGAAGTGTCTTTCTGTTCCCCTTTCTGACTTGAGGGCCGCAAAGGGCTGGGCCTGCTCCACCTGAGGGGCCTGGGGTTTCGGGCTGGTCATGCTCCCTTCCTTCTCCACCGCCCCACCTCCAAAAAGACTGCCTGGCCAGCTCCCAAAGTCACAGTCAGGGAGGCAGGGCTGGGGAGGGTGCTCTCACTGGATCCAAGGTGAGGACAAGCGGGAGATACCTCCAGGAGGAAGTGGCAACTGAACTGGGTTTTGAAGGATGTGTAGAAGTTTGCCAGATAGACAAGGAAGGTGGCTAAGCCCTGTGAGGACAGATGCCTTGCCCACTTTCCCTACCGTTTTGTGTCCTCAGCACCCAGCACAGGGCGGTCAATGTCAGACGGGCATTCTAGGCAGAGCACAGGGTCCCTAAAGGCTGAGGTGTGTGAAATTGGATTGTGGTGGGAGCAGAGAGCGGCAGACTGCGAGGCCGAGGACATCGGCAGAGGTCTGAGATCTCGAGATGCCATGGCTCCTGTGTGGGCTCCTTCATCTCTGAAGCTCGTCTCCATTTGGAAGCCCCACGGCTGCCGTGGGCCCCAATCTGGGCACCCTTGGGTGGGGGTAGGACGTGGGCGGGACTCCTGGGTTGGGGCTCCAGCTCTGGCTGGCTGGGGGCTTTCCCAGGTCGCCCGGCCCACTTTGTCTGCACTGGGGGGGTCAGTGGGATGGGGGGGAGGACCCCTGCAGAGGAGGCTGGAGATGCCCTGCAGTGGGTGTGGCTCGGGCTGGGAGGCTGTGTGTGGGCGGGGCCAGGACTGCCAGGCTGGGCGTGTGCCCTGGGCCTCGTGGGTCTAGCCTAGCCACTGTCGTGTGCCCTTGACTGCTATCAGGCTGCTGCCTGCCGGTGTCCCTCCCCCACCAGAATGTCCAGGATGCCTGAATGCTGGATGCCCCCCACCCTCACCCCTACCCCCCAGGCGCGTCCGTGGGCTGCTCCTTCATAGGTACCCCCGTCCGTGGGGGATTCCATCCATCCCCGTGGATTTAAACATCACCCACACGCTGACAAGTCCGGCCCACGACCTGACTCGCTCCTGCCTCCTCCTCGTGTCCAGAGGGACATCTGAGCGTCCCCCACCCCCACCCCCAGAAACCGTGGGAATTTCCTAAGTTGTGAGAGCAACAAAGGTGGTTTTTGTTATGTTAATGAGGTAGCTTTTGGAAAGCCCCTGGGTCACCAAGAAGGGGGCTGGTTGCCAGGGGACCCAACCCTGTGAGTAGAGGGTTGGACCGTTCAGCCCCACCCCCTGACGTCCAGGGAGGGGAGAGGGCTGGAGGTTGACTCAGTGGCCATGGCCAGTGATCTCGTCAGTCAGGCCTGTGTGATGAAACCTCCACGAAAACCCGAAAGGCCGGTTCGGAGCGTCCGGGTGGGTGGGCACGTGGAGGGGCTGGGAGGGTGGCGCGCGGAGAGAGGGGAAGCTCCCCGCCCTTCGCCCAGACCTCGCCCTCCGCGTCTCCTCCCTCCCGCTGTTCCCGAGTTCCAGCCTTTGGGAACAAACCAGGCATCTAGCGAGCAAACTGTTTCTCGGAGTTCCGAGCCGCTCTGACAAATGAATCGAACCCCAGGAGGGGACTGGGGGAACCTCTGATCTATGGCCGGTTGGTCAGAAGCACAGGTGACATCCTGGACATACGATTGGCGTCTCAGTCTTGTGAGACTGAGGCCCTCACGCTGGGATGTGGCGCTCTCTCCAGGTAGCGGGGGCAGAATGGAAGTGAGGGGCCGGCCTGGTGGTGCAGCGGTTAAGTGCTCACGTTCCGATTCTTGGTGGCCCGGGGTTCGCCGCTTCAGATCCCGGGTGCAGACATGGCACCGCTTGGCACGCCATGCTGTGGTAGGCATCCCACATATAAAGTAGAGGAACATGGGCACGGATGTTAGCTCAGGGCCAGTCTTCCTCAGCAAAAAGAGGAGGATTGGCAGCAGTTAGCTAAGAGCTAATCTTCCTCCAAAAAAAAAAAAAAAAAAAACAGAATGGAGGTGAATTATAGGACACCCAGCTGGCGTCAGGGAATTGCTTTGTAGGGGGAGCGGGGAGAAAACCCTCACGTCTGAACTGGAATCAGAATCGTAGGCGTTTTAAATGCAAACGTTTTAACCTGTGCGGAGAAAAGGGCCCACGGCACAGAGGCACGACTCAGTGGATTTTCTCAACCAGAATAGCACCCGGCTCAGGAGACGGGCCACTCTCTGATGCCCGTGATGTGCTGGGCAGAATAATGCCCCCTTACAGGTGTCTATGTCCTAGTCCTGGAGCCTGGGAATATGTTACCTCCTGTGTTCGACTCTTGGGGGCTCTGCCTCCAAAATGTCCCTGGAAGCCGTCCCCTTCTCTCCACCCCACCTCATCTGGACAGTCCACAGCGCCTCCCTCTGGCCTCCCAAGGCCACTTCCCGCGTGGCAGCCCACACCCCGAGGCTTGCCACGTCGCCTGAAATAAAGCGAGGGCCACAGAGCCCGCAGACTCCACGCGGGTCCAGTCGTGCGACCTACGAGTCAGTCACAGAAAGGAAAGAAGCTAGTGACAGACGCAGCAACACGGACGAATCTCAAGGACGTTCCCCAGAGTGAAGGAAGCCAGACCAAGGACGGAGTGTGGGGTTCCGTTTACAGGAAGTTCTGCGTGATGGAGAAATTGGAACAGAGGTCACCTTTGGGTGGCAGAGAGGGAGACTGACCGAGAAGGGACCCAGGGAAGTTTGTGGAGGGATGGGAATGTCTGCAGGAGGACGCCGGGCGCCAGGGGTACCTGGATTTGTCAAAAGGCAGCATCTGTACACTCGAGATGTATGCATTTTGCTCTAGTAAATTCTGCCTCGGGGGGAAAATATCCCGAAAGCCAATATGGACCTCTCGTTAATGATCTGCATGCTGAAATGCCGCCAAGGGGCAATGTGTGTGTTCGGCTGCTGATGCTGAAATGCACCCAGAAAAGTCGGATGGACTCATGGCGGATAGAGGGGTGGATGGGTGTGTGGACAGCTGTGTGATGAAGCAGTGGAGCAAAGTGTGGTGGGTGTATACAGGTTCATGGTAAATTCTTTCAGCTCTCCTGTAGGTTTGAAGATTTTCATCATGAAATGTTCGGAGAAAGCTCTGAATTCCTCCCCACAGCCCACAAGGCCCTTCCTCCCCTCCTCCCTCTCTCCCCCTTGCTCACTCTGCTCCAGCCACACAGGCCTCCTTGCTGGTCCCTCAACACTGAGCTCAGTCCTGCCCCAGGGCCTTTGCACCTCCTGTGTATTTCTCTGGAAAGCCCCTCCCAATCACCACTGCCCTCTTCTGCATCAATCCAGCCCCGCCTCATCCCTGGGTCTCAGCTCAGGTGGTCTCTCCTTGGGGAGAGCTTTCTTGGTCACCTCATTTAAAACTGTGCCACCCTGTTTGTTTTTGACCAGGCCCCATCATGCTGTGTCATCTCATTTATCTGTGAATGTGGTTCTTTGTGTATTGGCTGCCTCCCCTGCTGGGCTGTGAGCTCCATGGCAACAGGATGTGTCTGCTCTGTTCCCTGCTGTATCCCCAACCCCCAGCCCCAAGGTGGCGTGTTAAGTCAACCGGAGAACATGGGATGGATGGATGGATATGGATAGACAAATGGACAGACAGGTGGATGAGTGGATGGGTAGATGGACAGGTGGGTGGGCAGATGGACGGATGGATGGATTGATGGATAGATATGGATAGACGAATGGACAGACAGGTGGGCAGATGGACGGATAGATGGATGGATAGACAAGTAGATGGATAGATGGGTAGATGGATGATTGATGAGTGGATGAGTAGATAAATGGATGGATGGATGGACAGATGAATAGATGGATGGATGGATGGATGGACAAATGAATAGATGGATGGACAGATGGGTGGATAGACAGATGGGTAGGTAGATGGACAGGTGGGCAGGCAGATGGATGGATGGATTGATGGATAGGTACAGATGGATGAATGGACAGACACGTGAATGAATGGACCATTAGATGGACAGGTGGGTGGGTGGATGGATGGATAGATGAACAGACGAATAGATGGGTGGATGGATGGACAGGTAGATAGATGGACAGGTGGGCAGGCGGATGGATGGATAGATGGGTGGATGGATGATTGATGCGTGGGTGGATGGATGAATGGATAAATAGATGGACAGATGGACAGGTAAATGGACAGGTGGGCGGGCAGATGGATGGATCGCTGGATGGATGAAAAAAATGAATGGACAAACATTCCCAGTGGGGACTGGCATGGGGGTCTGGACCCTTGTCTCAAGATCTCAGGAGAAGCTGATGGGGCTCCCCAGACAGCCGGCGGGAGCCCTCTTGGCGGGGAGCTGGCTCTGTGGCCCGCTTCTCCAGATCCGCAAGCTCGGTCACGCAGCCGCGGCCAGCCTGTGCCTAGGAGCGAGCCAGCATTCCCGGCAAGGGGAGTCCGCGTTCAGAATGGTGGCCAGGGAGGGCACTGGGGGTTCCTTACTTCGCCCTTCTGTCTTCGGGCTGCGTAGGAGCTGCGTTATGTACCCACGATGGCAGGAAACCTTGCACCTTTGAGAACTCCAGTTCATGACCCCAGCCGGCCGCTCCCTTGACTCTGACCACTGTTTTCACACGTGTAAAGGGCAGCATAACTCCTGGCGGATGCTGTGTTGTCAAGCCACAGCACGGTAGGAAGGCTGGGCTGACAGGTGGTTATCACATCCCCGTTCTCAGATAACAAGGTTCAAAGAGGTCGAGTCATTTGCCTGAGGACACACAGCTCAATCTGTCACTAACACTGGCTGGAATAAGCTCGAGGTTGCCAGGCAGGGACGAGGGCAGGGTAATGGGCCCTCTGCTGCCCCCGTCCTGCCAGCCGAGCTCTCCCTTAACTGGGCCGTGTGTCCACAGGATGTGGTCCAGCCTGAACGAGTGGCTCTGGCACGAAAGGTTCTGGCTGCCCCCCAACCACACATGGGCTGAACTGGAGGACCCGGACGGCCTGGTCTACGCCCACCCTCGGGACATGCTGGCCGCCCTGCCCGTGGCTCTGGCCCTGGTAGCCGTGCGCCTCGCCTTCGAGAGGTGAGTGTCCACCCTGCACTCGAGCCCATCGTCGCTCACGTGTATGCGGCGCCCGCCCTGTGCACTCACGTCCTACACAGTTTCGTCCTGATGTGTCCCCAGGTGGGGCCTGGCCTTGAGCCAGAGTGCTTTGTCCGGGCCCGATCCTGCCCCCTGCTCTTCTGGTTTCCGGCTTCTCGGGGTGGGGCGGCAGCATCTTCAGAAGACAGGGTGGGGCCTGAGTGTGGGTGCCTGCTTTGCTCACCAGGGATGTGGCTGCAGAGGCCACATACGGCCAGGAAGCGAGAAAGTCCTGCCCGCTCCCTCCTCCCTCTGGCCTCTGGGCAAGCCCCTGTCTCGCTCCCCACCACCCCTGCCTCGTCCCGCTGTCACCCCTGCCTCCCTTCCCGCCACCCCTGCCTTGTCCCCCTAATACCCGTGCCTCGTCCCCTTAACACCCCTGCCTCGTCCCCCTGCCACCCCTCCCTCATCTCCCACCACCCCTGCCTCACCCTGCACCACGCCTCCTCCCTCCGCATCCCCTCTGCATCGCCCCCTGCCACCCCTCCCTCAGCCCCCGCCACTCCTCCCCCCGGCTCCTTCTAACGCCATCCCTCTTGCTCCCTTCTGTAGCCAAAGGAAGGAGCACGGCCCCCCGGCCTCCCCTTTTGGGCCCCCTCCCCTCCCCCAGCCTCCCACCACGGGGCACCCAGCCCCTGCGTACATGCCACCTGCCCAGGTCCCCAGCAACCTCCCGGCTGCCAAGCCCCATGGGTTTTCAGTCATTTGTGAGACCAGAGGCTGCACTGAACTGGGTTTCCCTGTTCGTCCATCCCTGGGGTCCCCCCCCCCATACCCGGTGGTCCTACTCTTTGCCACTTGACCGGTGCTGTGGTCATAGCTCCCAGACCCGCCTTGCCAGGCCCCTTCCCGCCGGCCTCCCCACTGCCCCCCTCTTACTGCCCCCCTAGGTTCCCCCTTGACGCTGAGGGATCCTCACCCTCCTCACCCCTGATTTCAGGTCTGCATCTTCTTTGTGATCACCGGGCCTTTGCACTCGCTGTCCTGCGGTTCCTTTAAGGCTCCAGGGATACCTGCTCTGCCCCTCCCCCCACAGAGCCCTTAACCAACCTCCAGACCCCACTTTGGGTCCCCGCTCTGTCCCGCGCGGACTATGGGGACATGGGAGCCTTTTGCACCTTGCTTTGTCTCTCCCACTCACAAGGAGCTTCCTGGGGTCTGGACTCCCTGGACACAGGCTAGACACAGGGACCCAGGGAACGAGCACTTATTCTGTGCCAACCCTTGCTCTAAGCAGTTGACGTGTTTTAACTTACCTAGCCCTACTCTTATTATCTCCGTTTCACAGAAGAGGAAATGGAGGCACAGAGAGGTCAAGTGACCTTCCTGAGGTCACACAGCGGGGAGGTCAGCTGGGCCTGAGGCTTTGCCTGAAGGATTCTGGGAAGCCCGATTCAGCCAGGCCTTAAAGGGCCAGTCTACTTTCCTGCAGGACTGGGGAGGGTGGAATGGGGGTGCAACAATGACCCGGTTCACTGCTGGAGCCCCGAGGCCCGTTTGCATATTTAACTGATGGCCTCTTCTGAAGTGGGGGTGTTAACACATCCCAAAGGCGCCCGTTGCCCCTCCAAAGGGCAGTGCAGGTGGGAGTAGCTTTCCCAGGGTCGAAGGCAGGGCTTTTCCCATTCTTAAGGGAAAGTGAGTCTTGGGTTGCAACTCCAGGTCTGCCACCTACTCACTGAGTCACCCAGGGCACATCTCTGACCTCTCTGAGCCTCTGGTGCCCATCAGGACAATGGGGACCATGGCAATACGGTTCAGTGAGCCAGCGTATAATGTGGACTTGGACCCAAGCTTGACAGATCGTAAGCGCTCAGCAAACCTCAGTCCCCTCCCCCCATCATTGTTGAGTCTGGAATGCGTCCCTTGCTCCGCGGCTCCAAGCCTCAGTTTCCCCAAATGAAAGGGGACGTTGGGATGCGGGATATGAAATTCGGTCCTGACCTCTGGCCTGGGGGCCCCCTTGTGGGCAGTGTGGTAATTGACCGGGGACCCGGCTCCTCGAAGTGTCCACGCTGGAGTGGAGGATGCTGGGAGGACCGAGGCCTGAGGGGGAGTCCCCAGCCCCGCGGGGGGCAGACCAGGACCCAGGCCACCATGAGGCAGGCAGTAGGGGAACTCTCGTTCCTGGTATGGGATTGGGTGAAGGTACTCGGGCACCCCACAAGTTGGCCTCCCCCCCCCATCCTGAAGACCTGTCCAGCTCCCTTCCGTTTGACCCAGTGCAGCAGCCAGGCTGCCCTCCAGGGTCCCAGGACGTGACCCGGCCCCTCCGAGCCTGTGCCCTCACCGGTAGGGCATCCGTCCCTTCTCACTGGAACCAATGGGCTCTGTCTCCCCTGCACCCAGATTCGTCGGCCTGCCCCTGAGCCGGTGGCTGGGGGTGCGGGATCAGGCCAGGAAGCCGCTGAAGCCGAACCCCACCCTGGAGAAGCACTTCCTCACGGAAGGGGGGAAGCCCAAGGAGGTGAGAGCCCGCCTCCATCGCCGTCGGCCTGCCTGGCCGCCGTGTGGATGCGGCCGGGGGGGTGGTATGTGGCTCAGGACAGGGAAAGCCCAGGGCAGCTGCTGGCACCCCCACAGTGCCCCCACCCTCACCCCACCGGGAGCCCCGTCAACGGGCCCAGCTGCCCAAGGGGTGGATCCTGGCATATGGGGACGAGGAGCAGAGGTCTCTTCTGTGCTGGCGAGGAAGAGAAAGCCTGGCTGTTCTGGGGGTCCCCCCAGCCCAGAGGCGGTCCTCTGACCCTCCCTGTAGTCCCATATTTGGTGTGGCTGCCTGGTGGACAGGGCTGGGCTGTGGGTGGCGCTGGGCTGGGTCCAGAGGGCCACAGGGAGCCTGTTGTCTCCCTCCTCAGTTGCTCTCTGAGGGCAGGGATGGGGGCAAGGTCTCAGCTGCCTGCCTGGGGTGGGGGTGCCACCTATCTCTAGGGGGAGCCGCCCCCAGCCCCCATCCATCACCTGCCTGTCCTGTGAACAGGGCTGGGTTCTCATAAGGCCCAAGGGTTTTAGGGAGACCCACCTGGGGCCCGCGTGTCCTGGGACAGGGGTGGGAAGCCGCCTCTGTGACCCGGGCCCCCGTCACGCCCTCCCCAGCCTCAGCTGGCCCTCCTGGCCGCCCGGTGTGGCCTGACGCTGCGGCAGACCCAGCGCTGGTTCCGGAGACGCCGGAACCAGGACCGGCCCTGCCTGACTAAGAAGTTCTGTGAGGCCAGGTGAGCCCAGGGGGGCTGTGGAGGGGTGTGTGGGGGGTAGGTGAGGGGGTCTGCGCTTCCGGCCGCTGCCTCACCGGCTCCCTCCCCATCTGCAGCTGGAGGTTTGCCTTCTATCTCTGCTCCTTCCTCGGTGGCCTCTGGGTCCTCTACCACGTGAGTAGTCCTGCCCCCCACCCACCCACAAGCACCTACTATGTGCCAGGCCTGGATGGAGTGGTGGGCAGGGGTGCGGGCAGAGGGGACATGTGCAAAGGCACAGAGAGAGGGGAGGCAACTAGGTAAGGTCACGGTGGGAATGTCCACTCAGTAGGCGCCTGTTGAGGACCTACTGTGCACAGGGGCTGGGTCTTCTACAGTGAAGGAGCCCTCGGTCTAGAGTGAGAGCAGAGATGTAACCAGACAGGAAGGAGCAGGCTGAGTGAGAGCCACGGCTGGAGGGCCAGGGGAGCCCCGAAGAATGGGAGGGATGCTGGGGTCCCACCTCGGGGCAGCCTCAGACTCCCATGTTCCCGCAGGAATCGTGGCTGTGGACGCCAGCGATGTGCTGGGACAATTACCCAAACCAGGTGTGTGACAGGGTGTGCTCAGTGGCTGTGGGAGGCTCAGGGTGGCCAGTTCCTGCAGCCACGGGCAGGAGAGCCCAACCTGGCCGTCACACTGGCATTCCTCTCCGGGTCCCACTCTCTAGTTTTGCCTCCACTGGAATGGACAGGGGCCAGGACTCAGGAAACTCGGAGCAGAAGCTGCCACGAAACCACTGCCCTTGATTACCTCCAGGGACGGGGAGCTCACACCTCTTCCCTCACTGGGATTCAAGTGTCTGTCCTGGTTGTGAGCGAACTGGGAGGGCCCTGACCTCTACCCCGGCACGTGCAGCCTCTGCTCCCCTTGCAGCCTCCACTCCCCACAGCTAACCTTGCCCACCCTGCCACAGCCCCTCAAGCTGGCCCTGTACCGCTGGTACCTCCTGGAGCTGAGTTTCTACACCTCCCTGCTGATCACGCTGCCCTTCGACATCAAGCGCAAGGTGAGGCCAGGCCAAAAGTCCGGCTGGGGAAGTGATGCCCCGGGGGAGTCACATCTCAATCGCAAGTAGGGAGGGGTGGCCCCACCCCACGCCCCGAGATCCCCTGGTGCCTCAGGCAGGAGTCCGCCGGGTCCAGGGACCAGCCCAGCCCCTGCCAGGGCCCGCTGCCAGCCCTCACAGCTTTGTCCCAGCTGTGACCCACCATCTCCCGCAGGATTTCAAGGAGCAGGTGGTCCACCACTTCGTGACCATCACCCTGATCACCTTCTCCTACAGCGCCAACCTGCTGCGCATCGGCTCTCTGGTGCTGCTGCTGCACGACTCCTCCGACTACCTCCTGGAGGTGAGCCCACCTGATGCCTCCTGGCCGCCCTTCCGGCCCTGCCCTGCCCTGCCCAGTGCCCTGGAGATGAGGCCCCGCCCCTCTCACCTTTCCTGGGAGGGGAAGCTCTGCCCCTCTCAGGCCTCTTGGGGGGTGAGGCCCCGCCCCTCAGTCCTCCTGGGAGGGGAGGCCCCGCCCCTCAGTCCTCCTGGGAGGGGAGGCCCCGCCCCTCCTTGCTGCCAGAGAGAAGCAGCCTCTCGCACACTGTTTCACCTTGCGGCCGTCCCTGGAGATAAGACCCCCCTGCACACCTGGCCTGGCCCCGCGGGCTTTTGCCCTGAACGAGGCCCCCGGCTTGCGCGGCCCCCTCCCACCCGGCTCCCCTGCCCCCACCCCCACCGCCTGAGTCCCTTTCTCTGCTGCCCTCCCCAGGCCTGTAAGATGTTCAACTACACACACTTCCGGAGGGTGTGCGACACCCTCTTCGTCGTCTTCTCCTTGGTCTTCTTCTACACCCGCCTCGTGCTCTTCCCCACCCAGTGAGTCAGCCCTCCGGCGGGGCATTGGGGAGGAGGCGGGGGTGGCTGAGATCCAGGCCTGCCTCACCTTTGGTTCAGACCCAGGGAGCTGGGGGTGTTGGCTGGGGGGCTTCCAGGAGGAGGCAAGAAAGGGTGTTCTTGGCACAGGGCACAGCATATGCAAAGGCCCAGAGGTAGGAGAGACAGGAAACTGGGCTCTGTCATCATTCCCCTGTGTGCCTGGAATATGGAGGGGGAGGCAGGGTTGGCCACCAGCCCACCAGTAGGTTTGCTGAGCCTCTCCCAGCAGAGGGAGCCCATGAAGATCCCTGCTCATGTGGAGCTGACGTGGGGCGATTTAATAAATGAGGCAGACAAGTAGAATATAGAGCATGTCGGGGAGAACATAAAGTCGCAGAGACAAGAAGTGTGTGGGTAGTTGGCATTGGGATGGTCAGGGAAGGCCTCACTGACAGCATTTGTACAGAGAGGCTGGAGGGAGGCAAGGAAGAGAATCCTGATCACAACGGAAGAGTGGTCCAGGCAGAGGGAACAGCATGTGCAAAGGCCCTGAGGCAGGACCTTGCTTGGCATGTTGGAGGAACAGCCAGGAGGCCACATGTGGCTGGAGCAGAGTGAGCAAGGGGGAGAGAGGGAGGAGGAGAAGGCAGAAAGGGGACGGGGCAGAGTATGCAGGGCCTTATGGGCCAGGGGAGAACTTGGGCTTTTATCCCAAGGGAGATGAGAGCCATAGAGCGTTCTGAGCAGGGGAGGGGTAAGGACCTAACTCAGGTGCTCACCGGCGCCCTCTCGTGGCTGCAGGGGGAACAGCTAGTGAGAGGCCTACACAGGCGTTGGTCCAGGTGGGCCGTGATGCCGGGGGGACCAGTGGCAGGGGGAGAAGCGGGTGGACCCAGGAGGATGACCTGAGGCTCATGAGGTGGGGAAGGGCTCGGAGCTGCTGCCTGAGGATCAGGAGCTCAGCTCTGGGTCTGAGGGACCTGCAGGCCCCCTGAGAAAAGTCGTGGAGGAAGCAGTGTGCACGCCACGCTGAGGTTCCGGGGAGGGATATCAAGGTCTGGTCTTTGCAGCCCCGAGACTGAACGGGGACACCCGGGACCAGGTGTGGCCAGAGGGGCCCAGTCCTGGGGCCCCCTGATGTTTACAGGTCAGGGAAGCCTGCAGAGGGACCAGTGAGGAGGTGGGGAGACGGGAGCGTGGGTCCTTGATGGCACAGGAGGAAAGAGCATCCGGGAGGAGCGAGGGCCAGCTGGGCACCTGCTGCCTGGGCAAGGTGGCCCTTCAGCCAGTCTGGGGAAGGTGAGGGGCAAGGGGGCGTCTGAGGAGAGAAGACGGTGTGAAGGGTCACCTGGGAGAGCAAGCAGGATACTAAGCACCCCCTTGGGGTTCATGGTTGTGACCGGCTGGTCGGCAAACTTGTGCAGTCTCCTAATTTCATATAATCAAGTGATAGAGGCACTTTGTGCCCAGCTGGAGAACACAGGTATCACTCTGGGGGCAGTGGGGAGCCAGAGAAGGTTCTGGAGCAGGGAGGGTCCCCCAAGTCAGAGATCCCTGGGACAGGGGGCCACAGCAGCTGGTGATGCCCCGCTTCCTGCCCGCCGTAGGATCATCTATACCACCTACTACGAGTCCATCGCCAACTCGAGCCCCTTCTTTGCCTACTATTTCTTCAACACGCTCCTGGCGGTCCTACAGCTGCTACACGTGTTCTGGTCTTACCTCATCCTTCGCATGCTCTACAGCTTTGTGAAGAAGGGCCAGGTAGGATGGGGCACCTCTCTGGAGCCCCCAGCCCCGCTCCAGCCTTGTCCCCCCGCCCCGCTCTGTGCTCTGAGCGCCGCCCCACTCCCGCCTCTCTAGATGGAAAAGGACGTTCGCAGCGACGTGGAGGAGTCAGACTCGAGTGACGGGGAGGCGGCCCAGGAGCACCCGCAGCTGAAGAACGGGGAAGCTCCCACGGACGGCCCTCGGAGGCGGGCAGCCGGGCGGCTGGTCAACGGGCACACGCCGGCCACGTAGCTGGCCAAGGACCGGCCGTGAGGGGCTGCCCCCAGCACCAGGCGGTTTGAATTTGTGGGGCAGCTGGACTGGTCAGTGGAGACAGAGAGGGCCCCACCCAGGGTCGGGGGGGCTGATGATCTGTCTCCATCCCCCTCTTTCTGCCCACCCTCCCTCCTTCCCTCAGGCAACTGGACAGAGCTGGGGGCACTGGCAGCAGCGGGAGGCTGCAGCCCGTCAGAGCCACCTCTAGGCTGCAGCCTGGGGCCTGTGAAGAGCCCCGAGCTGAAAGGGGTCCAATAAAACTTGAACGGAACAGAACTCTCTGCTCGAGAGCTTTCTCCCTGTCACAGCTCCTCGTCCATCCCCAGAGGCCCCGAGGGAGCCAGGACCCTCCTTCCCTTCCCCATGGGTGGGACATTCACTGCCACCCTGACATGTGCTCACCCCCCAGGGGATGCAGACAGCAAGCCGTGCGTGGAGACCTGCCCGCCAGGCATGTCCCTGACTCCCAGCCAACGTCTTGGCCAAGCCACCTCCTTCCAGCCCAGGGCAGCCCTCAGCCCCAGCCGACAGATGAGAAGGTTGTAGGCTCACACAGGGCAAGTCCTTGCCCAAGGTCACACAGGTCAGAGGCCAGGTAGAAGGGCAAAGAGGAGACTCTTGCCTGTTCTTGCAGCCCCCACTCAAGGCTGGCAGGACCCCACCCTCATGGTCCCTGGGGCCTCCCTGGAGGTGGTGAAATAGGACCTGGGGGGAACTCCTGCTGGCTTCCCAAGGGTCGGCCTGGGTGAGGTCACTGTCTCTTTGGGAGCGCTACAGAAAGGTGCCCCCTCCCCCAACTGAGCTGGGGGACCTGCATCCATACCCCAGAAGTCACAGCCACAAGGTCCCATGCAGGGCCAGGACGTGCTGCCTTCAGGGGAACACCGAAGAGGAGGAGAGTCATGGAAAAGAGAGAAGCAGGCGACGTCAGAGGACAGGGGGCACACGGGAGAGGAAACATGTTAGAGACAGACAACAGATCACTGGGAGAGAGAAAGGAGGGGAAACCGAGGACGATAGAGGAGCAGATCTGAGAGAGAAGAAACAGCTAGAAGGGGAGATGGAAGAGGAGAAGGGGTCAGAGGGATGGGAGAAGACGGACGAGTGAAGACTGAGCTGAGGACACAAGAGACAGACAGACAAGGTCCCCATCTTGTCTTCGGTGCTTCTCAGCAAAGAGGGGAGACAGGATGTGGGAGAGGTGGCAGAGCAAGCCGAGGCTGGAGGGAAAGGAAGGCAGAGAAAAGAGTCAAGAGAAAGGCATTAGAGATACTGGAAAGAGGGACTGGGAAGATGAGGCGGGGGAGCAAACAGTGGAGAGGAGAGTTGCAGATAGCACGGGAATGAGAAAGCAGGGATGTGGCGGGACGGGAGGAAAGAGGCCTTGGAGAGAATACGGAGATAGGAGACGAGAGAGGCAGTGGACTAGGAGCCTGGAGAGGGGATGTGATGTGAGAGTAGGACTCGTGAGAAGATGGGCAGAAAGATGGAGAGGAGAGACAAGAGGGCAATGGGGAATGAGACAGAAGAGAGAAAGAACCACAACTGAAATTTCACAATGTTGTCAACTATTATGACCTCAATAAAAAAAAAAATGGGAAAGTCAGGAAACTAAAAATAGAAAGGAACACCCTCAACTTGATAAAGAATATCTAGCAAAAAAAAAAACCCTACAGTTAGCATCCTACTTAATGGTGAGAAACTTGAAGCTTTCCCACTAAGATCAGGACCAAGGATGTCCCCTCTCACCACTGCCTTTCAACATTGTACCGGAAGTTCTAGCTAATGCAGTAAGACAAGAAAAGGAAGTAAAAGGGATACAGATTGGGAAGGAAGAAATAAAACTGTCTTCATTCACGGATGATATGGTCATCTCTGTAGAAAAGCCAAAAGAATTTTAAAACCTCCTGGAACTAACGAGCCATTATAGCAATGTTGTAAGATACAAAGTTAATATACAAAAGCCAGTCGTGGTCCTATATACCAGCAATTAAAAAGTGGAATTTGAAATGAAGAACACAACCCTATTTATATTAGCACTGCCTCAAATTAAAAATACTTTGGTATAAATCTAACAAAACATGTACAGATTCTATGTGAGGAAAACTACAAAACTCTGATGAAAGAAATCAATGAAGAAATAAATAAATGGAGAGATAGTCCATGTTCATGGATAGGAAGACTCGATATTGTCAAGATGTCAGTGGTTCCCAACTCGGTCTACAGATTCCGTGGAGTTCCGATCAACATCTCAGCAGCTGAGTGTGTGGATATTGACCAGCGGATTTTAAAGTTTATATGGAGAGGCTAAAGACACAGAATAGCCAACACAATATTGAAGAAGGACAAAGTTGGAGGACCAACACTGCCCAATGTCAAGACTTACTATAAAGATACAACAATCAAGAGAACAAGGTCTTGGTGAAAGAATAAACAGATCAAGGGAACAGGATAGAGAGCCCAGAAGTAGACCCCCCATAAATACAGCCAACTGATCATTGACAGAGGAGCAAAGGCAACACAACAAAGCAAATGGCACTGGTGGGACAACTGGACATGCAAATGCGAAAAAAAAATCTAGACACAGACCTTATACTCTTCACAAATTACTGTAAAATGGATTACAGACGTAAACGTAAGAAGCAAACTCTAAGACTTCTAGAAGATAACAGGAGAAAACTTAGATGACCTTGGGTTTGGTGATGACTAGATAGAATGCAAAAGGCATGATCCATTAAAGAAAGAATCAATAAGCTGGACTTGATTAGAACTAAAACTTTCTGCTCTGTGAGAGACGCTATCAAGAGAATGAGACGACAGACAGACTAGAAGAAAAATTGGCAAAAGATGCATCTGATAAAGGACTGTTACCTAAAATATACAAAAGCTCTTAAAACTCAACAAGAAGATGACAAACAACCCAGTTAGAAAATGGGCCAAAGATCTTAACACCTCACCAAAGAAGATACACAGATGGCAAAGAAGCATATGAAAACTCCTATGTCATCACTTGTCATATGTCATCAGGGAAATAAATGCAAATTAAAACAACAGGGAGATATCACTACACACCTCTTAGAATGGCCCCAAATCCAGAACGCTGCCAACACCCAATGCTGGTGAGGATGTGGGGCGACAGGACTCTCATTCATTACTGGGGGCAATGCAAGATGGTCCAGCCACTTTGGAAGGTAGTTTGGTGGTTTCTTACAAAACTAAATATACTCTTACCATATGATCCAGCAACTGTGCTTCTTGATAGCTACCCAACGGAGTCGAGATGCACGTCCACACAAAACCCCGCACAAAGATGTTCCTAGCAGCTTTATTCGTGATTTTCAAAACCTGGAAACCACCAGGATGTCCTTCAGTGGGTGAATGGGTAAATAAACTGTGGGACATCCAGACAATGGAATCTTATTCAGTGCAAAACGAAGTGAGTGCTCAAGCCATGAAAAGACATGGAGGAACGTTAAATGCTATAACTGAGTGAAAGAAGCCGGTCTGAAAAGGCTACGTATTGTATGATTTCAACTATAGGGCATTCTGGAAAAGGAAAAACTATGAGACAGTAAAAAGATCCGTGATGCCCAAGGGTTAGGAGGGGAAGGAGGAGTAATGGGTGGGGCACAGAGCATGTTTAGGGCAGTGAAACTATTCTGTGGATCCACGTCATTATATATTTGTCCAAACCCATAGAATGTGCGACACCAAGAGTGACCCCTAATGTCACCTTTGCACTTTGGGTGATGATGTCAACATAGGTTCATCAGTTGTAACAAATGTCTCACTCTAGTGCCATGCTGATTGTGTGGGAGGCTGTGCCTGTGTGCGGGGGGCGTATGGAAACTGTCTTTCTTGCTCGATTTTTCTATGAACCTAAAACTGCTGTAGAAAATAAAGTCTATTAAAAAAAATAATAACAAGACAAACAGCCTCACTAGTCACCAGGAAAACGCCTACTGAAATGGCCGTGAGACTTATTTTCCAACCATGAGGTTGGAAAAACATCTCTTTAAGTTTGATAATATCAAAGATTAATGAGATTGTGGGGGAAATGGTATCCTCCTGGGTTGGGGGAGGTGGAGTGGAAATTGACACAAGTCATTTTGGAAGACAATTAAGCGCTAACTAAAAAAAGCAAAACCACACTGACCCCACTAGCCAGCATCTCAGGATGCCCTGAGGAAGTAGAGGGACGAAAAGAGGAAAAACCACCCCAAAGGCCAGTAATATGGAAATGTATTAATAAAATGCACATGAATCACATGCATATTATCAACATGAAGTGATACCAAAAACAGAGTTGAGTAAAAGAAAGTTGCAAAAATACATATAGAACCATGACATCTACATAAAAATAAAATATTTTGCATTTCTATATATATGTAATAACAGTACTTAATATGGACTAAAAGCTACTTAATTGGGGCTGAGATGAAGGATAGAGACCAGAAAGCAGATTCATTTTATTAGAACTTGCTACTTTTTAAAGATGCATTTATTTCTAAATTATTTGTGTGTGTATATATATATATATATATATATGTTTTTTGTGTGTGAGGAAGATTGGCCCTGAGCTAACATGTGTTGCCAATCTTCCTCTATTTTATGTGGGACGCCACCATAGCATGCCTTGACAAGTGGTGCTAGGTCCATGCCTGGGATCCGAACCTGCAAACCCTGGGCCACCAAAGCAGAGCACATGAACTAACAAGTTTACCACTAGGCTGGCCCCTATCTGTATATTTTTTAAGAATATAAATAAAATACTGGAAGCAAATATATCAAAATATTAACAGTAATTAATTTGGGGTGGGAGAAATATCAAGGATTATTATTTTCTTTTTTCTATTAACATTTCTCCATTTTTCATATTTAGCAAAATTCACAGAACAAAACAAAATGGGAAAACGCGCTTGGTCACTGAAGAGAGGGTGTCAGCAGGTGTTCACTTGGCAACGGTTCGTGACGTGTTTCTTATGAATCATTTTGTCTAAAAAAACCACTTTTTTATATGTGCTGTGTTTCAAGAACCACACACAAGGAAGCGTGTAGGTCACAGCGTGCAGACTAGAACACGCAAAATTCTCCTTCCACGTGCCAAACCTATGGAAACGGCGGGAGAGGTTTTTTTATGACCAATTTTTTAATTGAGGTGAAATTCACGATTCCACGGCATTTAGGACACTCAACGTTGTGTAACCGACACCTCTGTCTAGTTGCAGAACATTTTCATCCCCCAAAAGGTAACGTCCTACCCATGGAGCAGTCAC